TTGGATTCTTATAATGTTTTGGCTGCATTTCAAAACCAGCATATGAAAATGTCTTCTTAAATGACACGCCAGTAATGAGTTGTGAATCCTGTTAACATGCATAAATAAATTAAAACAATAATAAATTGTGTATACAATTATTTTTCAACGAAAAGTTAAAAATTAATATAAACTAAAATAATCTTACGTCATAGTAATTTATTTTAAATATTAAGTTTATTGCAAAWAGATTATAGAGAAAAAATAAATAGTGCATTAAGATCATCTAAATAATTACCTATTTTTTTTGTAATAATTATTAATAAATGTGTAACATTGTAGTATTTCTTATTCAAGGTTTAGCCATTTATGACATTATGTCCTTTAACTACCTACCTACATTATTTTATAACATAAATTAACAAAATTAACCATCTAATGTTTTAGTTAATGGAGAAAAACAGTAACTTTATAAATCAAAACTTTACTTTTGACTGTGAAAAGTAATATAATTGATGTTATTTAATGTAAGATTATTAACTGAATACTGTAATTATTATTTTATTATTATATAATAAACAAGTAGCATTATTTTTAAATAATTTACCTAACATTGAACATTTCTTGAGCTAACATATTATTTTAATTGTATTAGCTTATGTTGAAAAAATTACCTGTAATCCACCACCTTGAACTTTTTTGATACCAATCATGTTTAATGGCAATAATTCATCTAATAATAATACTGCATCAACGGCAATCTTTGAAAAAAAATCTTTTTCTTGATGGATAAGCTTTGAATTAAGAGCAGTGGCAGCACACTTTTGAAGGAAAGTACGGTATTCTTCATCATTATTAAATTTCATCTGTAAAGATAATTATAGAATAAATAAATAAATTATAAAATATAAATAAAGACTTGATTAAGATTGTACACAATACAAATATTTATATACAAGTTATATATAATATACATGTATAYCAGTTAATTACCTTATAAGCAATTTGATCAATTCTATCTTGTGCAATTTTTAAGCCTTTACGTAAAGCTTTAATGATAATTCTGGGATGAACTCCTTCTTCAACATAAGGTTTCACTTGTTTAAGAAACTCTCCTGCTAGTARGACAACACTAGTGGTACCATCACCAACTTCAGCATCCTGTGATTTAGCAATATCAACAAGAATTTTTGCTGCTGGATGGATTATGTCCGATATTTTCATGATTGTAGCACCATCATTAGAAATAGTTGCTGTACCTCGACTATCCACTATCAACTTATCCATTCMACGTGGACCTAATGTAGTGCGAATAGCTTCAACAACTGCTTGACAAGCAGTGATATTAGATAATAGTTGAGATTTGCCTTGGCTATCTTCAGTTCCTTCTTTAAGCAATAAAATTGGGGGACGCTAGAAAAAAATTAAAAACATAAGTACCAACAAAATTGAAAGTATCATTCACAATAGATACCAATTTTACTTTCTAGAACGATAATTATGAATTTATATGTAAAAACAAGAATAATGGTATATTTTGTAAATAATTTCATTAAGGATCTATTTAATTTGATAGTTATAAGTACTCAAATATACCTACTGATTTCCCTATGTACCTACTGAGTACCTWATATAGCATAACTAACATTGAACAATAGATATTAAGGTATACGGATCACTGTTAAGAGTTTAAATATCTAATATCAAATTTTAATTGAAGAATGTTAATGAGAAGTCATCTAGTTTTAGATTTCATATGATAGTCAAATATTTCAGTTGTCACACAAAGCAGTTAAAGAATTTAAGCTTTGCTACACAGAAAAAAATGAGTAGGTAATTAAGATTAACTACAGGTTATTTGTACAAAAAACATTAATGAAAATTAATGATATATGTTCAACCTATAATCCTTCAATAAATGTTAAATGGTAGATATTTTATTAGGAATTATCATTACGGGATGTTTTTTTCTATTTCAATTGAATTTCATTACAATTTCAATCAATATAAAGAAAAATATATCAAACGATCTTATATTTTGCACTCATGTGGTGAGAAAAATAGTATCAGGTCTATAATAGAAGACCTTTCATATATCATGTCATGAAATATTATTGTTTATTAAACGAATAATTATACAAGTACACTTACCATTTTGTGGAATTCTTAAACAATTTTAACACTTAAAAGGAAACAAATCGATAAAGTAAATAACACAATTCACAAACAGAGTTACTGATCAGTACAAAAACTTTGAGATTTGGGATTTAATTTTTTAATTTTTATAGTTTCTTACTAACCTATAATTTTGTATCCCAAATGCAAACTTCACACGACTGCAAAGAGGTTAGAGAACTGTTCGGTAAGGGTGGTATTAGTGATAACATCTACAATATTATACCAATTATGGTAACACGGCAAGTTAATATTATCAAAGAACAAAGTTCAAGGCACGGTCTTAGAAGACCGTGGTTGAAGGTGTACTTGCTTAAAATCACTAACCAGTAACAACTACGGTATCTTACCATAAAATATTAAATAGATAACATTTTTTAAATTGTAAAGATATTAAATAAACAATTAAAATAACTCTATAGTMTATACCTCTATACTAGTAATTCATGTGTAAATTAAAACATGACGATTCATATTTCGTTGTAATTCGTTAATGAATAATTTACAATAATTTTCAGTAGAATTTCTGTCCTTGCCTCAAAAAGCTAGAAAATTAAAAACAAGGATTCTCTTAAATAGTTCATATTGTAACTGAAAAATCTAAAAAGRATCACATAGTTTATTGATAGATTATATTTGATTCTGAACAAAGCGATGAATGTATTGATTTTACAATGATGTGTGTGTGTTGCTTTTTTGAATACCGTGAAAAATAACCCTAATTTTGGAAATTAATCTATATTTCATTGCGTAAAATAAATTACAAAATGTATAACATATTTATAATTGTAAAATAYTTAAAAATATTAAATTTGGATTCAATCATCAATGATTTAGTATACCTKACACAGTCCTGCGTGTGTTAATTTCGCTGTAATCGGTACTGCTATCGTATATCTATATATTTTGCTGTGCATTTGTTTTAATTTCTGTTTAAATAGTTATGTTTTGTCTAAAAAATAAATTACGAAAATAAAAAACGAACTGTCGGCAGACCGAACAAAGCTTGCCCGGAAAAACGTTGGAAAATCCCAAACAAAATGCTCAAAATCGAAAACTGTTCAAAAAAGATTAAAAACCTTATATGAACGATTAAATACTAACCAAATTGGAGTGGATACATTTTTGAAAACAATTTACTTCGATTTAAGAAAACGTTTAAAAATAGGCTTTAATATAATATATATATATATATATATATATATTTTTCACATATTATTATTATTATTTTAAATTATTATATTATTGAAATATTGTATTGCGTTACACATTTAATATTATATTATATATTTAAATATATATACTGAACACTTGTCATAACATAACCACTAAAATGTTTCTAATTTAATCTTTAATAATTTTGGGTGGTGGAGGGGGGGACCGGACTTCTTTGAGATATTTTTAAGCATGTTTAATTTTAGATTATTATTACTTATTAGTGTTTTATATTAATATCGATAAAAAAATTATCGCTCACTTAAAAAACTTAAAACCTTAATACCGCAGGGTTCCTCGTAAGTTGTTGTAAAAGAAAATTAAAAAAAAATTAAACGTAAATCCACAATAGTTTTTTTATGAGAGTCATCTAAATTTCAAATTGTGACAAAATACGTAAAAATCACATAAATTTGGAAATTACTTCAAGTTATAAAAAATAAAAAAAWTTTTCTTTTTAAATTTAGGATTTGAAAATGTTAAGTAAGATTCCTCATAAGTTTTTCTATCGTAATCAATTCGAAAATGTCTACTGGAAAGTCAAATAAAATTATTGAAAGCGTTTGAAGTTCAAATTTTTACAACATTGGATAATCACATAAAACTATTTTCTTATTTTGCTATAATTTAAAAACGAATAACTGTTGATACTTGAAATTTAAACCAAATGTTTATTTTATCGTTTTCAATAGGTACCTTTTTACTTAAATACCGTATTTTCGAATACTTGACATTTTTTTTTTAACACCATGTCGGTACACAGATCTGAATACCAATGATAAGCACCTTTTTTTACTCAAAATTATTCAGAGCATTTTTTTTTCAAATTATGTATTTAAATTTTCAATCAATATTAGAATCAGTTTTAGGTTCCAAGTCATTAACATTATGTGTAAAAGACATTTATCATATTTAATAGAGAGAGGCTTAATTTTTTTAAGCATAACTACAAATTACAATATAGGTACATAATAATATAGTTACCAGTAAATTTGTCAATCTCAAGCTTCTCCACGCAACACCTCTCGCTAATCACTGACTCAATAACGAAATCCAACTTCCAATGACCAGTTCCACTTGTTAAGTCGTAAATGGTACAATAGTTTAACTGTGGCCACCGACCCCATTGTTCAATATCTCAAAATCCATCAATTCAGTAACTACAGACTAACACACGTCATAAACAAAACTTAATTCAGCCTTGAATAAGTGTTATTTAGTTACTAATTCTTCTGAATGTAAGCATACTAGTAGTATGAGTGAAATTACAATTATTATTAAGTACTTCAACAGTCTATACATACATCCACTCGTGTTCACCACGTTGGTCCTCTTTTTCCATTTTTTTTTTGTCTTAACTCAGAACATAAATATTATCAAAAAATAATTATGCTGTATAAATGGACAGTTCTGGCTGTGATGGTATAAAAAAAATAATAATAWTGGGTTCTATTATTGGATAACCTGCCTCCTAATGTCATCATCATCTAATTAAGTTATTATGCCTTATTGTAATATTCTTTTTTTTTTTTTTTAAATAATAAAAAAAAAATTATTGAGTAATGGTAAATAGGTAAACACGTAATAGTTAATTTTATCTTTATATTATATTATACTAATTATAATCTAATTTAAAATAATATTACAAAAGTAATATATAGATTTAATTTTTTGTTAAAATAAAATCTTCAGGATAATCTATAATCTTTGGGTATTTTTCAATTTCTTCTTTACTATAAGAACCCAGTGTTTTAGGTATAGATCTTAATGGTGGGATTTGGTTGGTAATATTCTCCATAACTTCTTCTGGTACGTTAGAGTCTGAGTAAATGTGTAAACGTTCCATAACTACTCTCCTGAATAAGTTTCCTTTCATATGATGATAAACAGCTTTTCTGAATATCTAGGAAACAAAAAAAAAAAGACGGTTATAAAAATTTTTACAGAACTTAAAAAAAGATTTATACTGCTTTAAGATAAAATATTACAAAAAAGCTAATAAATATTTTATTTGAAACTTTTCTGTTAACACAGCTGCGGTAGCTAAGATATTTTGGTGATCACAACTACCATAAGAGTATCATGTGTCAGCATCATTAAATTTGTGAAGTCAAATTGGAAAACACATGTTGCATATTATGCAATTATCACATAACAATTATAGAAGAAAGGCAATCATACTCAAACCAGTTACCTGAATTAAAAGTTGGTAATTATTGACTAACCTAAACTATCTGCTTTATACGAAAAATTAGTTGTACCAGTTCAATTTATCTGCCAATGTAATTGGTTTGAGAAAAGTAATATACCAATTACTACAATTTTCTGATTATATTTTATTTGATATTAAAAATAATTCTTAGTTTTAAAAAAGTGGAAAAAAGTTTAAACAAATATGATAAATCTGTAATATATTAGAACAGTTATTTGAGAGACGTTTGTGTCATGTTAATTAARAAAACTGTATTTTGGAGAAAAAGCCGGTCTAAGCAAAATTGTTGAAATAAACGAAAATGTGTGCAAGCGTAAAAATAATGTTGGAAGAATTCTTGTTTAAACATGAGGATAATTAAAAGACATATTATATAAAAGAAACAAAAAAAATATGTTTTATCGTAAAACAGTCACAAATAGGATAGCCTCAACTTAATAAAAAATAATATTAAATTCAATTAAATGAATATATAAAATCTTACAATAATTAAAAGCTATTAGTTTTGTAATAACTTTTATTATCATACCATAGTTGGATCTCTATCATGTAATTCCCAAGCTGGAGTCCACGTTGCTCCACCTGAATATCCTGTATGATGGAAATACACACGTCGACGCCATTCCTCGCCAGGAAATGCAATTTGTTTACTGTTTATAACTACAACGTGATCGCCACAATCAACTACAAGTAAAAATAATACATTTAATTATATAATTTATGTTTGGTTAATAATTTAAGTCTTATGAGGTATAGATATACTTATTAAATAAACAAAAAACCACTGGGTCAACGATAATATTTTACTAAAATAACTATTTATCAAAGTTGGTTTCATTCAATATAATATGATATATGGTAATATGTCCTGTTTCAATATTTCTATTTTTTTTTATAATTTATTAATATTTTCTTAAGCACTACAGTACATACAAAAATTATACGTAACAATACATAGAATCTGCCATTGAAACATAATGTTCTTTTGAGTAATCAATTCAATAAAAATATTTTAGATAATTTTATTTTTATAATTCTATACACATTAAAAATTACCTTATTTAAAAAAATAAAATAAACAGAAGAATAGAAGATGATTTCAACAAAATTAAATTATATATTTAAGCATTAAATTCAAATTATTCACCATGATTTATAATATAATAAAAAATAATTTATTAAATATTAAGAACGTATAGATTTTTTTAATTAATAAATATTTTGATATAGTAACAGTATATTATAAATTTATAAGTTAATGTATAATATGTTGTTATTATTAAATATTGGTATACAGGAACAGTATTAATTTAGTGCTACTATACACACAACAATTAAAACCTAAACACTCCTAAACTTGTTTTGTAAAACCATCTTGGGTAGGTCTCGCAGTTAAAACTAAATTGTTAAAAAACAAATGTACAACCAGTGAATATTATCAAGAATTGTCTATAGTCCACAGTTACTCATTGTGCAATATTTCAATACTTTAATAAAATTTAACTTAAAAAACCAAGCCTGGCGAACACATCTTGATAGTACCTTAATTTTTTTCATAAAAACCTTCATAAGAATTCATAAAAAAAATGAAAAACGCAATGAAGCTATAGTTATGCCTAGTATATCTAACATGTCTATCTTTTAGAATTTTAAAACATCACATATTARTACTAACCTAAAGGATGATAAATTGGTTTAATGAGCCCTTTTAAATATTTTTCAATTGTTGGAGCACATTCCAAAGGATTTTGCCAAGCTGCGTCAAACAGATGCCAACAGCGAGCAAATGTGTTCCATTGCTGTAAAGATATACAAGAATTTCAAAATATAATATACAATACTACACATATAGTTATTTATAATCATCTATACACGCGCTACTTCATACTACATAGAGATGAATAGCATGATATAATTTTACCCACAACATATCAAAAGCACTCACTTTTACTCTCCCTAATTGTGACATTGAAATTTGTAAACAAAATATTTAATTTAATTTTAGATATAAAATATTATTTCAAACTTTTTCTTYTCTAGTTGTTAATGATATAAGATTTATTTTGTACTGAAATGAAATTATAAGTTGGAACATATCAAAACGTCATAAAAAACCACGAACTGAGATATCTTGGTTCGTGATAACAACTGAATAAATAATAGATAATACAGACCGTGCTACAGCTGAACATAGAGTAATATTACTCTATGCTACAGAATCACATAATATTCAAAGTATAAGTATGGTTTACACCATATCCATGGTTTTAATTGGTTTATACTGTGGTTATCGTACAAAGAGGAGATGACAACAGTGAGAAACAAGGTATCTGGTATAATTGACCATCTTTCAATTTTCTAATATTATATCTAAGATTTGATAATTTAATTCAAAATTTATCCTTACCATTGTTCCTCAATAGTAAGTTGTTCTTGTTATTAGCAATTTAAAAAAATAAGAGATTCRAAGGCACGATTTTTCATAATTATAAGTATTTAAAGCTCAAAATTTAACAAACTTCATCAAAATATTGAAAATTTGCAAATTACCTATTTTGTTGTTAAAATTTCTAAAATTTTCAGCTTTTATAACAATATAGGATTGAAAATTTAAAACGAGTTTTCTAATAAATAGTCCATACCTTAGGTCATATACAGTCACCTTAAAACCTCATAATTATTATTCTTATACCTAACATATAGACTGACTGACAGATCGTGTCTTCGCTCTGAATTGTTTTTCGTAAAAAATGATATAACATTGAATTCAAATTTAACACTTTCCGTTACAGTGACCCACATGACACCTAAATACCTAATGGACCTTTACTTATAAGCAGGGTTGGGCAAGATACACAAAAAGCAGTATCTCGATACTAGATACAAGATAGGTATACTTTGCTTTGGAGTATCGCGATACAAGACACTAGATACTTGGCTTTAGAGTACCGCGATACCATAGGCGTGCCCAGACTTTGACCGCAGGGGGCCCTTAAAAAGGTCCGAACTAAAGATTCTTGTGTGATGATAATTGATTAATTAATAAAATAATAACTTAATCACATTTATATTTTATTTACACTATTAGATTAAAACTGGCTTTACTTTTTTTTTGTAAAATCTAAAAATGTTCGCTGTCTAGTATAATTTACATATCTATGCATTTAATAAAGAAAAAGCCAGAGGCCGCAGGGGGGCCCACCCGTCGCCCCCTGCGCCCACGCCTATGCTCGATACTTGGCTTTGGAGTATCGCGATACTAAATACTCGATACATAAAAAAAAAATATATATATGTTTATTATTATGGGGATGACCACCTTCGTTAAATATGGCAAATAATGAAATAAAATAATAAAAATTGACACTTATTCAGTAATAATAAAACGAATCAATTACAATATAACGTAATCTCGTCGTCGTTAACGATGCAATAATAACCACAATACAATTACAGAACAATTAAATAATAATAATTATATCAATAATAATTCTACATTAAAAATTATATAAATACATAATAAAAATAATATTAGTAATAACATAATGCCTTAAATCCTAATATATAATAAATAATAGTTTATAATTTTATGATTTATCGGTACTGAAAAATAATTTTCAAGGGCAAGATACTAAAAAAGCAGTATCGAGATACTAGATACGAGATACTTTGCTTTGAAGTATCGCGGAATACAAGACACTCGATATTTCATATAATTGTATCGAGATACAAGATACAATTGTATCTAAGATACTTGTGTCGAAGATACTGCCCAGCCCTGCTTATAAGTTATGTAAAATAGGATTAAATAAAAAAATTCAAGACGCCATTAAATGTTTTTTGCAACCGGTCCATATAACAGCTGCCACTGCGGGCCAGGAGACTGTTAGAAGAGTTGTATAAGAGATTATGAAATTATCTACTATCTATATGGCAAACGACCATCGTCGTTATTCATTGGACACAATTAACGACTTTAATTATTTCAATCAGTCGTTAAGCAGTGCTTACCAATGATTTCGTTTTTTATACATTTTCTAGGTAATCCTTTAAGCAATGGCCATTGGGGATTGACTTTTGATTAATTTTTTCGTTTATTTTAATTTAAACAACAATACTTATTTCGTAGATCAAAATGTTCTGCAGTTACTATTTATGTTCCAGCTTCTTGTTTTCAGTATTATTTTTTTTCTTCTAAAAATATATTTGCCCTGTGTTCTCCTTCGAAATTTAATTTTTAAACTTATTCTTTTTCAACAAATTGTTTAAATGTTGAAAATTTAGTGCCTGGATTATTTTTATTTAAAAACAATTGCACCTGCTGGAGCAATCTAGGTAAAACAACTACAATTTTTAGTTTTCATTTATTAATCACTAGTTAATTTTATTTTTAAAACGTTTTTAAACATTGGCTAGGTATCTCAGAGACTAGTTTAAAGTAACACACTAATATGCACCATTGCACCTATTATATAGTATTATCTATAGTCTTTAGTGTCCTACTGTACGCATTTTCTAAATTTTTTTTCCTACTTGAAATGCATTTGACTGTGAGCACTCATGCTCGCCTCCTCGTTTTTTTTTCATTAATTTAATTCAAGATGATTTTTTTTTAAGAAACCTCTGAATATCGTTCTGTAAGAAGCTCACCAACTATATTGACTTATTCTATATTTTGTACTACAATATGTAGACTAATGGTAAAAAATAACTTCAATGTTTTTTTGTTTTGAAATTGGCTTTTTCAAATATCCCTTATAAGTTTTAACTTGTGCATATTTTAAGCTAGAAACTAGTTTGATACGAGTAATAATATGGATGAAAATATGAAACACAAAAAGCAAAAAGGTTCTATATATGTCTGAACAAACCTTAAAAATAAGATATTTTGACATAGAACATTTTTACTCTTAGCTCATGAATAGACTGCAGTCTTGATTACTATTTAAAGTATGTTTGCCTGCGGGATTTCATTCATTTATATAAATGTAGTCCAACATGCATTTTTAGCTGTACCTAATACCTGACTTCGCCTTTGAAAAACTGATAAAATTTAAAACATAGCGATACATAATATGGTATATCTTGGTTATAGTGTAACTCAGATCATGGGTGAACCTGCACCGTGGCCGTGAGTGGCCGGAGTTCTCTGCTTTGTGATCTATTTCAACCAAGATCGACAATTCGTCTGCGGTGGATTGGCTATTAAGTCTGACAAAAACGGTCAAGTAGTTTTTGGGTTTATAAACTACGAACGTAAATATTGTACTCTAATATTTTTTTCTGATATAATTTGAGACAATAAATTGCAGCGATTTAATACATATTTTTATTTCATCTGCCCGAGTAATCAATAGCAACTATTTATGTATAAAATAATAATAATTTCTACTAAAATTATATTCTATTATTTCTATTATCTGTGGCAATAATTTATAAACAAAAATAATTTCTATTTTCGTCGTAAATATCAAAACGGTGAGGTGTGGACATCTCTTGAAAATGCGAATTTAGTAAAATCCTTTCTTTGTATTCCCCTATATGGTGGTACAAATCGATTCCCCCTAATAATATCAAGTGCATCAAAATATTCCTCATTCAAAATTTCCCATTACAAATATCGTATGTTGAAAATATTCTCGTTAAAAATATCCCAATATTTAGAGAACTTTTATACAAAATATCCTCAGTAATATTATCCATTAAGACTTAAGAGGACGCTACACCTGCATATGTTGTCTCCGTCTTTCAAGTGCGTAACATAGCAAATTTTATGCTAAGCAGATCACGTTTAGCTCCGTTAGTTCAAAATTTAGAGTAAATTGACCTCTTACAAAAATTAAAGGTAACATTATTATTGAGGGCATCTCATAGGCTTTTTATTATATTTTAATTTTAAAGTGAGTTATGTGTATTTTAAAATTGTAAATTGTTTGTATATTTTAAAATACACATAACTCACTTTAAAATTAAAATATAATAAAAAGCCTACGAGATGCCCTCAATAATAATGTTACCTTTAATTTTTGTAAGAGGTCAATTTACTCTAAATTTTGAACTAACGGAGCTAAAAGTGATCTGCTGAGCATAAGATTTGCTACGTTACGCGTTTGTAAGACGAAGACAACATTGCGGGTGTAGCGTCCTCTTAATTCGTATATATATTTTTTAAATAATTTCATAAATTTTCATTGGATTGTTTTTGGCCATGTATAAGAATTAAATTCGAAATTTTTCGTTTTCGTTTTCACCGATAAGAAATGGCCAACACGCACTTAATGCCGTCACCTTAACGAAAATTTTAACGGTCAGTATTTGTCAACATATTTTAAAATTTTTATTATTTCAAAAAAATACAGTTATTCCGATTAAAATATAGTTCTAACAATAACTGATTAAGCAGCTTAATAATATACAGATAGCGAAAATGGGATAACGATAATAAATGACTATAAAAATAAATGAATTCTACATACTAAGTGTATTAACCTAGTTTACGAGAAGTTAAACAGTGGTTCTTAATTATGAACATTTTACTGTACTTACTATTTAAAAGGTATTGCGTGTAAATATTCATTTTCAAAAATCTGTTTTATGAATATTTCATTTAAAATAATAATGTAAATTTTAAGATAATACAGTAAGTTGAAATATACATTGCCAAAAACAGTACAAATTTATAGAAATTAAGGGATATTTTGTATTTAGGATACTTTTAATCGTGATATTTGTAACGGGGTATATTTTGATGCATGGAATATTTTGAGAGGGTGCACCGTACGAAGCTACCATGAAAAATTAAATTTCTAGGTATCATAATATTGAACAGTGCAGTAATAATGTATCTATTTTGCCTATACAATACGCCGGGTAACATTTTACGTTTGTGCGAAATAAGTAAAATCATTTTTGGAACGTAAATGAAACGATGATGGGCAATCCCCATGCAGTGGGCTAGATGGATTAACTATTATCTAAACCTCCCTAAAATTGTAAGAAGATAATGTTTTTTATATAAACCTCAATTGTGAATGTTGCTGCTATTATATTATGATACCTACTAATCAGCTGATGATTAGCTCTCACAGGAAACCTTTGATTA